AAAAAGCTGTTTATATACCATTACAATTCCAGGACACACAGCCGATACACAACCCAAAACCACAAATGCAAACTCAGCCTCGTGAAGAACTACCACAAAATCCAACACAGATTCAGCCAACAAGAACCAAGTGGATGAACTGTCAAACCAAATCCCAAATACAATAGCTCAATGTTTGCACAGTAATTTAAAAAAAAATGCAAGCGTTGATTGAACATTGATTGGATTACTGAACGTTGATTATTGAACATTAATTTGATTGCTGAAAGTCGATTATTGAACATTGAATGAACATTGATTATACATTGATTATTGAACATTGATTTAACATTGATTGGACTGCTGAACATTGAATGAACATTAATTATACATTGATTATAGACCATTGTTATTGGATTGAAATTTATAAGTAAAATGGAAATTAAAAATTGAACAGGAATTTAAGATATTAATTAATATGTTAGAAAAGATCACAATTGAATGAATAACACAATCACACTTTTGACTTAAAACGTTTTATTGTTCTCATGTTTAAAACAAAATAAATAAAAACCTAAGTCGTAGCTGGCGACAACTTCTGGGAGAAGAGCCGAACAACGACTCCGATCCTCATCAAAGAAACTATCATGATGACGGTGACTCGGCTGAATACGGAATAATGTTTGAAGAACTCGAATACCAAGCCGATGATAGCGAGTAGATGGGACCTGTATAATGGCTGACTGAAGACGCAGACGATCCAGGGTATCAGTGGCTAACGGATGATCAAATCATCAGTGGTGTGGAAACATCGCAGGAGCACGATTCATCTTATGATGAACAAGAAGTTAGTCACCTCCCAAGAGTCAACGCATCAACAGATTTTAACGCTGCTTACAACCTGCTGATGTGACTGGAAGATAAGGATATAATGTGGATTATATTCACCTAATGCAAGTGAGGAAATGGCGAGATGAAGCTGCCAAACAGAGGTTCAACAATTTAAGACAGAAGTCGATGACGGATTATTTTCCATGTGTACTGTACAGAATTGTACTGTACAGAATTGTACTGAAGATGGTGAAAAAAAAAAAAAAAAA